AGAGAGAGAGAGAGAGAGAGAGAGAAAGAGAGAGAATGAATGTATATGTATGTATATAACATTTCTGTGATTTTAGTTCGTTGGTAACAAGTTCCTGTTAATGAAAGTGAAAGCTGTTGGTTGCAACTGCTGATATATATATATATGACGTCACGGCCTCTTCATTCTGTAATGATAGTACTGGGACGTCCCTGGCAACTTTTGGTTTCAGTTTCGTTTTTTTTAATACAATACCCGTCCCTTTTTTCATTCTTTCTTTCTTCCTTTCTTCTTTATTTTAATTCTTATTTTTCATATAGACTCTATGTATATTTTTAAAAGGATGTTTTTAAATGAACACGAAGCAAAAGCGTCTCGACGGCTTGTTAAGTTTGTTGGGCAGTGTTAACTTTATGCTTCGCTTGGCACTGTCATTATACTCTAGATGTGCTAGGATTGGTTTATTTAGATTTGAAATGAAACTTTTCGGTTTTAAAGGATACACTGACACGATGAATATTATGATGAATTATTATTACAATTATTACAATATCACCAAAATGTGCACACACAAAAATGCTATGCAAACTCTACCTTCTAATCTAAAAGAAAATTTAAAAAATACTAAGCCTCTATTTGAGTTGTTATTTCATCTTACTAGACTTCAATATTGATAACTGTCATTCCGTTTCGAATTTCTGATTCAAGGCACTTTTAATGAAGTGTGTTTGGTCTCTTTTAAAGAGTCTCCAGTCTTTTAGCTCCCTTCATGAGTCTCTTCTGTAGCAAATCAGTGTTGAAAAGGGAGTTTAAACTTGAAAAGCACAACTATGCTAGTAGGCTTGTATTTTCTAATCTCACTGTTGGAGTGTGTATCAATATTTTGTATGTCCATCCTGTGACCATTCGTGTGTGTGCGTTCATGTTTGAAAAAAAAATGTGTCGATGTGTATGTCTGAGAGGGATATATCATAATAGAGAATTTGTGTGTGCACGTGTGTGTGTGGGTGTGTTAGTGTGTGTGTGTGTGTGCGTGTGTGTGTATGTGTGTGTGTGAAAGAGAGAAAGAGAGAGAGAGAGAGGTGAGGAGAGAGAGAGAGAGAGAGAGAGAGAGAGAGAGAGAGAGAGAGAGAGAGAGAAAATGGTGTTAACGAGTGTCTGTACGTGTATGTACATGTATATATCTAGCCCCAGCAAATTTCTCCTTTGGGAGATTCATAAAATCTTGTTCTGTTCGTACTCACAGGCTTTAATGGCACAACATTTGTTAAGTTGAAACAATTCATTGGCTCTCCGATCAACTCGTTTACCACTCTCTAAAATACAACGTTAAATCGTAGTGTGTAGCCCACGGTATTTTCACATATTCGACAACACCATCAAATCTCATCACACCACACCATAAAACACAACACCGCACCAAACCACATAACACAACACTACACCACACCACACCACACCACACCACACCACACTACACCACACCACACTACACCACACCACACCACACCACAGCACACCTCACTACACCCTACCACACCACAAAACAGACCCAATAGATCTCATCATCATTATTGCCTTTCTCATCCTGCACCAGTGTAGGGTATAGGCCACGGACAAACACTGTCCACCTTTCTCTATCCTATGCAAGCATCTCCATGCTATTCCACGTCTTCCCACTTTTCTGTATATCAATTTCTGTTATTCTTTTCCAGGTTCCACACTGTCTTCCCCTTGATTTTTTACCCTGTGGATTCTAATCACAGCTGCCTGACTTACTGAGCGTATATCAAATTCATCACCACCGCCTTCTTCTTACCTCATCTCTGACTGGGATATAATGTCTTGTTTTCCTTAACACTTCCTCGTTTGTGACCCTGTCTGTCCATCTGATCCTCGTTAACTTTCTTAAACACTTGTTCAAGATAAGCTGGATCCTAAAGCATCATTAAAATTTCACTTAAAGATTTACAAATTCCGTCACAACCAATCCCCAGGTGGAGTTGTGAGTTTAGCCTCAAGTAATGGCAAGCAAGTGTCGGTGACATGGGGATCAGATGGGTGGTCGCTGGGGTGTGTTCTTGAGCAAGACACGACAACCCTAGCTCAAAATACAGGGAGCTGCACAGTGGCGACCGACAGTGGCATGTTTGTAAACTGTTCTGTATTTGTGCAATTTTATGTATATATGTGTGTATTTATGCATCTATTTATGTATGGACGTATTTAGAATTATGTATTTATGTATGTATATGTATGTTTCCCATTGTAAACCAAAGGGCCCTTCCAGAACAAATAAAAGTGTAATTCATTTTTATTATTTTATTTTATTTATTTATTTTCCATTTCTTGTTTTCAGTTGAACGTGAATCGCCATGGCAACAGGAACAAACAACCCGGCCATTCGGAGTTTTGTCCTCTTCGATTTAGAGTCTACAGGACTGCAAAGTCCTGGCTACGAACCGAAGATCACCGAGCTGAGTTTCGTCGCTGTGACAAGGGATGAACTTCTGACCAAGGGCGCAAAACCTCGAGTGCTGAATAAACTCACTCTGTGTTTCAATCCCGAGAAGAGAATCCCACCAAAAGTGGCTGGTATGACAGGTGTGTTGTTGTAGGTGTCGTGAGACCCCCCTTTTCTCTCTCTTTGTCTTTCTCTGTCTGTCTGTCTGTCTGTCTGTCTGTCTGTCTGTCTGTCTGACTGTCTGACTGTCTCGCTCTGTCTCTTTCTAT